GCTGTTATTTGATATATGAATGTACTTTTCAATGACTATTCTTGGGATATTACAGCAGTGGTTTCCCGTTGCCTACTGCCGGTTTGTGTACAGTTTCTCTGCTAGCCTTTGTCATCCACTGACAACCCACAAGGCAGTGGGGGCTTTGGTAGGATTTATAGCGCCTCCCGTCGCCAAGATGGTCCCTTCTTCGAGTGTGCGAGGTACTTATTGAAGCACCTGTGCCACCAGGGTTCCCCTCTACTCTCCACGACTATCTCTCATTTGGTTCACGACTGCTTAGCAGCTAACCTCCATATCTGGAGGCTTTCCCCCTACCCACAACCAGGGGACGCGTTATGTTGCGTATACTACCCAATATTAAATCTTAGTACTTCCCAATAATAATAATAATGATAATAATAAGAAGAAGAAGAAGAAGAAGAAGAAGAAGAAGAAGAAGAAGAAGAAATGATAATAATAATTGTAATAATAATGATACTAATAATAATGATAAAGGTAATAGTAATGATGGTAATAATAATAATAACAACAACAGTAATAGTAATAATAATCATCATCATCATCCAGTGCCAGATCTGCGACAGACATCGGCGATCATGATTTTCCATTCATTCCTTTGCTCGGACGCTCTCAGAAAAGCTACGTTTCCCTGATCTTTCCCTGTTACCCATTTGTCTAGGTTCCCTTAATATGTTGTTCTGGGCCTACCCCTGCCTCGCTTGCCCTCAATTTTTCCAGTGAGAGCTAGATGTTCAAGACCCTTATGTCTATTTAGGTGTCCCAAAAACTGCATTTGTCGTTTCCTGATTGTTTTTAACATAGAGCGTCCCACGTGGGCTTCATCAAGCACTACCTCATTTGATTTCTTTTCCTTCCACGATACTCTTAGCAGTCTCCTAAGAAACCACATTTCTGTTGCCTGTATTTTATTTTCACTGTCTTTAGTGAGTAATAATAATAATAATAAATAAGTCGTACTTGTTTGTACAGCTGATTGTCTTGGACAGGTGCGCTGTTTGAGCATGTTCGCCTGTACACAACTGCTGGAAATTTCCACTTACTTTTCCGCTCCTTGAGGGGCAGTGAGGAACTCCAACATGGCCAGAGGTTTGGCACGCGCCACGGCCCCCACCATGTTCATGTAGCTACACAGGTAGGCCGTGCACACCACTACCAGGCTCTTGGTGCTCTGTCGGCGCAGGTGCTCGATGATACTCTGCAATGGGAGGGGTGGGGTCAGGTGGTTTGTTGGAATGAAGAGAAAAACGTCAAAAGGATGGGAGGGGTGGGGTGGTTTGTTGGAGTGAAGAGAAAAACGTCAAAAGGATGGGAGGGGTGGGGTAGTTTGTTGGTTGGAGGAAAGAGAAACACGACAAAAGGAGGGGGCGTATGTGTGTGTGTGTGTGTGTTGGTGCTCTGGACAGTGCAGGTGCTCGATGGTGCTCTGGCGATGGGAGGGGTGGGGTGTATTGTTGGAGTAAAGAGAAACGCGTCTCAAGGACGGGAGGGGTGGGGTGGTTTGTTGGAGAGAAGAGAAACACGTCAAAAGGATGGAGGGTTATGTGTGTGTATGTGTGTGTGTGTGTGTGTGTGTGCGTGTGTACGTGTGTGTGCGTGTTGTCTTTTTTAAAACTAAAAAACAGCACATCCACATAGTAACTGTTATTACATCAGAGATGCCAACCAAACAAAACCAAAATGAGTATTGGGAAATATGAAAATGTGTATTTTCAGGGGAAAATGTGTATTCTCCACGACCGACTGACCAACTAGTAAAATGTTCAGGTTGTACAGCAATATTTCCTGAAAAAAATTTACGAGCTCACCAGCTCGAAAAAGGGAGCACACACGTGTACAATATACATATATCCAGTCAACAACATGTCAGTGTTCAGTGTCGTACTGGGGTCTTGTTTGACTTCAGTATTTCAGTCTGTTATAATATTTTCCACTCATTATTATTATAAAAAATTAATCCTGTTTTGAGCGTTCGGAAGGACCTAGAACAAGAATTTCGACTATCAAGAACCAGTCTAGGTGTCATGATTCATATTATGAACTGAACGACTAAAATTATTGCTCAAACTCAGAGAAGAGCAATAACTTGAAAGGCTGAAGTAGACCCGTGCACTGTGAGAGTTGTAACAACTGTGGCAGGGCAAGATGCAGTGACACTGAAAATCTGCCCGTCTTGAACAGAAAGCTACAACAAACACTGTAGGTATAATTTACTATCACCCATCCAATGACACTCGAACATTTTATTTCAATTACACAGACTTGCAAAGTATGAAGGGTCCCCGATTCCGCACACGGCCTGCACCAACGCGCGCTTTGCAGAGAGCTCTAATCAAAATTCTGAAATTTGCCTCCAAGTTTTTGCCCTCTGGTGTTGCCTTCATTCCTCCCCCCCCCCCCCCCATGTGTATTTTTATAAAAATCAATAATCCCCTCCCGTAGTCCTATACTTGGCAACACCGTTACTCCCACCAAAGACGGTCTTTGCTCACACGATGCCGCATTTATTTGTGATGCGAATGCGCGCAGGTTCATTGACCGGTCACGATGGCGAGCCCGACAATTTAAAAATCGGACAACGCTTGTATTTTCTTTTCTTTTTTTCCCACAGTACAAGTAACAGCACAGAGACGAATTCGAGAAATTTTATTTGCACGGCAACACAGCATTTACACTGCACAACCTGCATGTCACAAATAAGATGCATTATCAGTCTACCGCTTGCAAACTTCTCGGTGGTAACGAAAGCGAAAGTAGATCTTGATTTTTCCCGATCAAGCCTCGGTGTCACATACACTTCCACCTGCCGCCATAGCCGCCTGTTCAGGTGAAAGTAAAACGTACTCTCGGAGGAGGAAAAGCTAAACGAATATTATCACTATCGCGACGGGCAAATATTAACTTACTGACCTTATCGGACTTGGTTTTCAAATATTCCAGTTCCGCGATACTGATACTATTTTGACAAAAGAGGGGACTTGAGATAATTAGGTTTACTCGCCCAAACTGGATCTCGTATTTTTCGCATTCCAGGATGCGTATTTTTTCATGAAAAGTCGTATTCGCGTATTTGCGACAAAAAATCGTACTAAAATACGTAAAATCGTACTGGTTGGCATCTCTGTTACATGGTGATTTGTTGGGAACAGTTGTTTTTTTTAGTTACAGATTTACGCCACTTGCAACATAATAGGGTCATATAAGTGCCAAAGATCAGACGGTGTTATAAGAGAGTAACAAACACAAAAAATAGAAGGAGAGATACACATCATAGAAGTTTGATAGAGAAGCATACAAAGAGGCAGTTTGTTGGAGTAGAGAGAAGCCCATTGAAGAGTGGTATGTTGGAGTAGAAAGAAGCACATCCGCACAATAGCTATCATTTGGTGGAGGTTTAGAATCAAGAGACATTTATCAATCACAGGGCATTACAACACTAACAGCCCTATTTCATGAGTTTTATGGCCGATGAGAAAAGAACCGCCGTATTTCACCAAGAACAAATCATAGTTCTCAACGCATTGCTTTGCTAGGATGCTCCTAAAAACATTATCCTGGTCTTTTTGAGGTATCCTTCTGTTCAAGTTCTGTAAGTTAGTTATTTTTGGTCTACCTCTGCTTCTTTTGTCTTCTGGGAGTATACAATATTGCAAAAACAACTCTTCATGTTTAGAAAAAAGAATGTCATTGTATCTATATATTCCACCATTGCGAAGGGACTAAAGTGGGGATTTGACACTAACCTTGACCTTGTCAATCCCAAAGGCTTTGTGCTCGAGGGCGTACAGCACTTCCTGTAGGGCATAGGGTAGGTACATGATAAGCTCCTTCCAGCTGTTCACACTGAGGAAAAAGACAAGAAGAGACAGATATATAAGTAAACTGTGTACACTGTATATTTTTTTTTAGCACAAGTATTACGGCAATTGAAACACAAATAGGTCACATAAGTGCCAAAATTAGAGGCGTTACTAGAACCTAACATACAAAGAAAAGAAGGAGAGATAGGGACCACAGCTGTTTTATAAATAGAAGGATCAACCCACACCAGAGCACCTACTATCATCAAGATCACCTCCATCAATACCTTCACCATCAACATCTCTTCCATTAATCATAATCATCATTAAAATTACCATTATCATCATCATCATGGTCACAACCATCACTTCACCATCTCTGTCACCACCATCACAACCACCACGATCTTTATACATTACTATCTCTATCCTTACCATCATAACCACAACCACTACCAGCATCATCACCATCACCACCACCACGATCTTTATACATTACCATCACTATCCTGACCATCATAACCACAACAACTACCATCATCATCACCATCTCTAACATCACCCTCATCACTACTCTAAGATATCGAAAAGGGTGGGAGACAAGTGGACCAAAATTAATAAATGGGGGGTGTGAGTTTAAAATGTTTTTAAAGGGGGGGGGGGGGGCCAACATTCAACTTCACACCCCTGAACTAGTAGGAACAAACATGAGGCATCGTGGTGACATCAGGCGCTCGTCAAAATGATGAAAACAAAGAAATTGGCATTTTTCTGGCTGTTGGGCAGTTTTTTTCTAATTTTCTTTTTTTTGGGGTCAACATCCTTTACATCCATTTAAAAATACAGCTCTGTGTGGATTTTACTGCAAAACATTGATTCAAGGCGCAAAAAAATGTAAATTTTCATTTTCCAAGGATTGTCACACTGTCGAAATTAACAAACTTTGGCGGCCAATTTCTCGCTAATTTTACCTCTGAAACCAGGCGACCCTGACCTCCTTCTATCGCAAATATTTCAACTTCTATTCACTCAGATGGATATTTTTGCTCCAAAAGAAAGACAATTAACAGGCTTTAAGATGATACTAATAACTCCATATGTCCAAAAATTGTCAAGCGCCTGTTACTACGAAGTTGTGACACAAATCTGTTTTATTTCTCCTTTGGTGAATAAAAAAACAAAACAATAGATATTGAAAATTTAGTGATTTTAGTAAGTTACTGAGACAAATTTTCCCATTTAGGAACAAACCAGTTTCATTAAAAAATATAGAACAATGTACAAAAGTGTTTTTTTAATGCACAGAAAATTGAGGTAGCAGACCCGGTATCGGCACTAATACTGACAGTAATATGCCGTTTACAAAAAAAAAAGAAGTTTCATTCAGATATCTAGATTCTATATACAATGTTACACCTGACCGTCAGTCGTAGAAGGCGGGAAAATAATAAACTGGGGGTATGGAATAAGGAGCGGGGGGTGCGCAAAAAAATTAAAATTAATAAGCGGGGGGGGGGGGAGGGATGCTTATTCGATACCTTAGAGTAGCTCTCTTATCACTATCACCATCCTCATCATCATCATCATCACTACCACCACCCCCATAACGAGCACCATCACTACCACCGCCACCATCCATCCACCTCACCAACATCACCCTCATCACAACCACCACCACACCCATAACCAACACCACCACCACCCTCATTACTACCACCACTAATCACTGACACCACCACCACCACCCATCCTCATCACCAACACAGTCACCACACCCCCTCACCACCACCACCACCATCATCACAACCAGTACTATCATCACTACCACCACCACCACCATCATTACTACCACCACCACCATCCACCTCACTACCACCACCACCATCATAATCACTACCACCACCACCACCATCATCATCACGACCACCACCACCCACCCATCGACCCTCACTACCACTATCACCGCACCGGCCACAGGGTGCGATCTCGGAGCTGCTGAGCAGCAGGTTGAGAATGGCGTCCACCTTGTCCTGGTCCTCCACCACGGTGAACTCGCAGTTCTTGTAGCGGCCTTCCTCCGGCAGCCAGCGCTTGGCCCACTGATACACCAGAGTGTACTCGTTCTCTCGGTTGGGAGCCGCAATCTGCATTGGTGGGGGTTAAGGCCAGAGCATTGGTGGGGGTTAGGGTCTTGGCAGCTAAGCGCATGAAGTCACTATATCCACTTTTCAGATTCAAGAAAAATGAGTTTGAAATTTCGACGATTTTGAAATCTCTATAGCATAGTCAAAAAAACAAACGTTACTATCTTGATACCGAATTAAGGAACAGCTTAGATGTTTACAGAGGTTAAAGAGTGGCTCAATATCTCACTACCCGTATCAATTACTCCATTTCGACCAAAAGTGGGTATAGTCACTTCTTGTGCTCAGCCATCAGTGTGTTGAAGTTATGTTTTAGTAAGAGTTTTATGGCACTTGCAACATAATTAGGTCACATAAGTGCAGAAGATTAGAGGTGTTACAAGAGAGTAACAAACACAAAAAAGAAGGAGAGATACGGAAGATAAATGTTTGATAGGAAAGAAGGAGCATTCTAAACCAGAGCATCCACGAACTGTCCACCCCCTTCTTCTCAGAATCCACTCACCCCCAAGAAGTGTTTATGACGGGGGCATCAACCACCACCCACCCCTCCTTAAAAAAATACTTCCCCTCAAAAAAAGGCAAAAAAGGTTGCACTTATAACAAGAGAAACACACACACACACACACACACACACACACACACACACACACACACACACACACACAAGAAAAACAAAGAAAGAAGAGAGGTAAAGAAATGCAGATCTCACTTCCACGCCACTCTGCTGAAAGATGCTGGTGATCATGAGGAAGGTGATGTCAAACAGCTGGCTCTTGTTCGGGATGCGCAATGCCTCGCCGCTGTTCTGAGAGGCAAACTCATTCATCCTGAACGGACAAGAAAAACACAAGTATAAATGAATTTTAGTTTTAGTAACAGTTTTACAGTACTAGCAACAATTCAGTCATATAAGTGTGATAGAGTACAGGTGTTAGTAGAGAGTAACAAATGAAAAAAAGAAGGAGGAGAGAAAAGGATGACAGACGTTTGATAGGAAAGAAGGAGCAAACCACACCAAACTACTTTGATGACAAAACTGCCTGTGAACAAAGTAAGAATAAAGTTCCGTACTTCTTCTTCTTCTGGTGGTGTCAGGTCTGGAGCAGACACTGACGACCATGGTGCCCAACTCCATCCTGTTGTCTGTCTTCCTGATCAGCTAGACACCCACTGCTGATAAAATGCCAAAACTCAATTTGGCGGTACCTACCAGCCAGCACAACTTGACAATAGGTGACCATCTTCGCCACTTTCGACTGTATTTCTGCTGAGTGCGCTGACAAAACGCCTCTTTTCATTTTTAACACAAAATTTTTTTATTTTGCTAAATCCATAACCTGATCAGTTACCCTCCTTGTGGGAAAAAATCAAAGTGAATTTGTGACTAGTTTTTTAATCAGTATTCAAATTTAGGAAGAATGCTATTTTATATGGTTACACTGACAAAAAGCCTTTCAATCTCGAAATTGCTGTGAATAAGAAAAAGGTATTTTGTCAGCATACGAAAGATTTTTATTGCGAGCGCAGTAAATCTCTCACTAACAAAAACTGTCCTTGTATTTCAAGCACAATAAATCTCTAACAAAAACTGTACTTGTATTTCAAGCACAAAAAATCTCTAACAAAAACTGTACTTGTATTTCAAGCACAATAAATCTCTAACAAAAACTGTACTTGTATTGCAAACACAATAAATCTCTAACAAAAACTGTACTTGTATTGCAAACACAATAAATCTCTAACAAAAACTGTACTTGTATTGCAAACACAATAAATCTCTAACAAAACTGTACTTCTAATATATTGCAAGCGCAGTAAATCTCGACAAACAAAAACCAATCGATACCTGATCAGCTTCGTGATGAAGTCACCGAGGCGACCCGTGCTGGCAGCGGCCAGCCTCAACATGTCAAAGCTGTGGCCTTGGTGCATGATGGTCAGAACCTTGACCATCGACTCGGACGTCTTCAGGGGATCAGAGTCCAGTGACTGTACCAGACAGGGAGAAAAAGACGGTAGAAATATCCAGGGCATATTCATGTAGAGTATAAAAAATAACCCCATGCACTGCTAAACTTCAATTAGAAAGAAGAGAAAAAGAAAAGATATGTTTCTAAAATACCACTTTATGCGTCTTTTAAGGAAACTTGTCTCACTTGGGCACTATCAAGACATGGCCAGATATACAGGTATGAAGCATTATTCCATATAAAGCAAACAGTCTACAAAGCAGGACATGTAAAGATTTTTGATAAAACACAAAGTTCAAAAATAAAACAAAGTTTAAAACTGGCATGATGGATGACAGAAAGACCAAAAAACAAAAAAGAAAGTAAAAGAAAATATGTTTTCATCCCTTTAGAAATGAGGTTTAAAAATGGTAGTTGAATGTGAAAGGGTTAGAAAAATGTTAGCAGTAAAAACGAAATACTGATGTCTGTGCACAATAAAAGCCTGCAGCTTTCAGATAAAAGAACAAAAAACAAACAAGAAGTCTAGATCACCCTTGGAGAAATAAACTTGAGAATTATTCTTGACAGAAACAATACACACTGAGTTTGGGCTCAAAAGGGCAATGCAAAGCTACGGAAATTCTTCAGGTATTTAAAAGTACGGTAAAACTTTTAGTTTCGTTTTACTTAGAATTTTTAGGCACTTGCAAAACAATTAGGTCGTGTAAGTCGTCGCCTCAGAACTATTTTGTCCAAAGTGTACTTAACCCCCTGGGGCAGTGCCACTGACTGTAGTGTCTTTAGGCCATTCCCAAAGGGGGGACATTTCTCGTTCAAGCACAGTAGAATTGTAAATGGGCAGACTCATGTTACGCTCATAACTGTGCCTAATCTACAACAGGGAACTGCTGCTTTTTCTTTCCTGATCCTTACTATAGTCATTTTCCTCTACTCCTTTTGTATGTTTGTCACTCTCTTGTGACCTGCTATTTCCGGGGTGCATTGATAGTCAAAGCAGGCCTTGTGCTGTTCAAGCTAGAGAGGTGAGCAGTCTAAGTCTGATTCCCTGTAAAGACTTCTCTGTTGACACCCACCCCTTGGCGCTCATATGACCTTATGCAGTTGCGAGCGCCGTAAAACCCTCTACAAAACCCCCCCCAAAAAAACCAAAAGGTGTACTTAACAAAGAGGCAATTTGGACAAAATAGTTCTGAGGCGACTAAGAACCAAAGATTAGAGGAGTTACAAGAGAATAACATACAAAATAAAGGAGAAGGGATCAGGATGACAAAACCTTGGACAGGAAAGAAGAAAACCAGACCAAAACACCCACCAACTACATAATGGTAAAACTTTACAATTGAGAAGAAAATAAGATGAACAGCTTGAGTGATTAATCACCCATCTTGGTTTTCTTTCTTTTTTTTTCTTTTTTTTTGAAGCCCACAATTATGTACATATGCGTAAAAAATCTTTGAATATTTCATAATTACACATTCTGACCATAAAGTTTTAAAAATAAAACATTTAAGTCACAAGCATGACAAAAATCAAAATTTAATCTTTTTTAACGCCTTAAGCAACACAAGTGTTTTGAAGTTTAACGACATATCTCAATGATAAGCAAGCACCCATGGTCCATCCATCAGTACATTGGATTAGACGGTGCATCCAAGGACCTTCAGGTTAAAGTTATTTAAAAACCAATAGGAAAGACAGCTTCGAAACATTACCAAACAATCTACAGCAAGTAACGGAGAGCTTCCCACTAATGGAGATAGGAAAGAAACAGAAAATTTACGACTTATTCCGAGGTTTAAAAAAAAATTATAAAAATATCATGGAAATAGAACAATCTAAAAAGAGAAATAGAATTTCTCGAAGCTCAGTAACCCCTTGGGTGCAAACTTCAACAGTGTGTCAATATTTCATGCATAATACAACTTCATTTTGCAATATTAGTGTGCTGAAGTCTACAGTACAATGCTTTTGTTCAAACTGAAAACAGACAATTTAATGAAAGGATAGAATATATACATATAAACAGTGAATTAATGACCGTGTTCTCTTCAACACATGCACGGACAAAACAGTACAAGATGTAAACCATACTCTCTAAAAGCTCTTAATTTTTTTCACAGACTAATCACTTCTGTTGCTGACAATTGTTGAACAGTGATGGACTGGGCAGCATGCATCAGCAAAGGGATATCGTTGCAGAATGACAATATTAAAAGTGAGGAGATTAGGGGGGAAAAATGGGCGTTATCACAAACTGGAGTTCATGAGGGTATCATTTTTAAGATCTTATAGACTCTAACTGCATTTCTGTTCCATTCTTGGTTGTTTACTAATGGGGGGGTTTTTTGTTTTTGTTTTTGTTTTTATCTTTTGTTAAAGTGTTTAACGGCGCTCGCAACTGCACAAGGTCATACAAGAGCACAGGACACATTAAACATTTTCAGTTGGTAGGAAAGTTTGAATTCTGCCCAGGTGCCAGCCGAAGTCTACTTTTATCGATTTTGGACCACCAAGGGATCTTAAACGGCGCATGCAACTGTATTACGTCTTATGAGTGCACGGGACCCATTAAACATTTTCACTTGGTAGGAAATTTTCAATTTAGCCCGGGTGGCGGCCGAAGCCTCTTCTTATCAATTTCGGACCATCAAGGGATCTTTAACATGCGCAACTTGCACACAGGACTTCCGAGATTTTAACAATGACAATGACAATCTTTATTCATCTCGCAGGGAGAAATTGTCTTGGTCGTTAACAATGGCAGTAGACATTACAAAGGTTAGGGCCCTTGTCCGAAATGGCTAGGTGTAGATCTTACCTACCATAAGATCAGAGGTGTGGCTGAAAGACAACCGTAAGAAAGAGCCAAGGAGTAGCAGTAGAAAGGCTGCAGAAAGAGTCCGGAGCCCAGAGGAGGAGGCAAAGGGGGTGAGAGAGTGGGGGCAGAAAGTGCAAACAAAAGCAGATGACAGAACATTTATAGAGAGCAGGAAAGGACGTGAAAGGAGAACAATTTTAGAGAAAAAAATTATTCCATCGCTATCTGGATTCGAAGCCGGGATCTTCTGAATGAAAGGCGAATATCTTAACCTCTAGACCACGAGAGCCCTCGTTACGAATGTTTGACTTCCCATTCAACTAACAATAACAATAAACCAGCAGTCAAACAGAAATGAAGTTATATAGATCTATAAGGTAAGTAGACGGTCTCATAATGTCCAATCTGTGATAACACCTGTTTTTCCCACTGAATCCTTCATGTGTCTTCAAATGGGAACCCCCCCCCCCCCTTCTGCATAACACAGCATTTCTTCACTGACGCAAAATTTACCACCTGCCTCACAATTAAACGGTTCTTATCTTTTTAAATATCGGCTTTCTATGCCTCCATTAACACAATTTAGATCATTTAAGAGGCAGCTTCGACCCTACCTGTCAGGGCGAACCCGGGCTGAGAGGGACACAACATCCCAACAGAAAGATCGAGATACTCAAATAAAAATTCTTCCCGACACGCGAACTCAGGTCTTCTGCATGCAATGGTAAAAGCGCCTAACCATTACACCAAAGAGGTCGGTACAATTAGAATCTGCGCTATCTAATTTTAGAAGAGCACTGCCAATGTTCATGCCAACTGTCCAACTATCATTCACCTATTTCACTCTGGTATAAGATAAGATACACCTTTATTATCCAAATCCTGGCACATTGGTTTAGAGTATCACCACGTACACACATACATACACACACACACACAAACGTGCACACACATGGAATAGGAAATTGGCCGCTGAGAAGGCTCTCCACCCGTCTAGAACCTGGGTGATCTACTCCCACCTCCAACCATCTGTCATGTTCATAGTTTTCAACACGTTACGTGATTGAGCAATAAACCAATGATCACTCGACATTTTTTAGTTTTAGTAAGAGTTTTTTTTGCTTTAGTAGAGGTTTTACGACGCTCGCAACTGCATAAGGTCATATGAGCTCCAGAAGTTTAGAACTGTTACAAGAGAGTAACAAACATAAAAAAGAAGGGGAGATAAGGACGACAGATGTTTGATAAGAAAGAAGAAGCAAACCACACCACACCAGACCACCCACCAACCACCCACAAAAATGAAGAATAGAGGTGTTAAAAGAGAGAATAAGAAACACAAAAAAGGAGGAGGAGAGAGAAGGACAATAGTTTTCTATAGGAAAGAAGGAGCAAACCACACCAGAGCACCCGCCACTTGACAGTACCTTGGAGCCTCATTATAGACAGGTTAAAAATAGCCGAACAAATAAGTGCACCATATCAAAGAAAGCAGAATTTAAGGAAGTAGCAACAAGACAGCAAACATAGAGTGAATTATTGCACAAGATCTTATTTCAGACCTTTGTGTCTCCATAGACGCTCAGTGTAAATACTTATTAGTTTGATAAGTTGAACAGTTAATATGAACCCTTAAGGTATTCCCCCCCCCCCTCTCTTTTTTTAGGTAAGCATGTGTGCATGTGTGTGTGTGTGTG